CCTACTAACAACTGAGGTATATATGCAGTATGTTCGAGATAACAGCTGTGTTGTGGTTTCTTGATTAAATTCAAATTAAATTTAAATATGAATTTTGATGTGTTCCCTAAACAAGCCGCCCATCTAAATTAAGCTACGCTAATTTACAATAAAAAAAAAAGGGCAGCATAGTGCTTTGATGTGCTAATACAAATGTGGTAATGCAAAAAAAATGTCATCTCTTTTGATGAAATTAAAATAAGCCTGCAATAAGCAGGCTAAGGAAATTAATGATACTTGTAATATAATATAAAAGGAAAATAATCACACTTCGATTGGTCAAAATAACAAACTTGGTTAAACAAAACACGGTTGGTTAAACAAAATAAAGAATTTGGAACTTATATTTATAAAACTAAGATTACTAACGAATATAAAAGGAACTAAAATGCTTGAAGATTATACAAATAAAATATATACAACGAAGATGGGGGTTAACTAAAGGACGAACAGGAAACCTGCCATATGGACTTGTTTATGATAATGATTGCTCTGGATAAGTTCTGGTCGGACCCTCTGGATACTCTGAATATGCTGGCGTGTAGATCTAAGCATTTAAGCTACCATTGGAGAACTTTTGAGTTGGCTCTTCATGATGATGTTTCCATTGCTGAGGTTCAAAGTGGTTTGGGAGTTTCGAACGATAGCTGCCTCGTTCATTGGAGTGTTACCCAAATGTTTACCCATGACTTTTGATGTCGAGGTGACTGATGAGCTCGCATTTCTTGCGACTTCAGAGCGCTGAAACTTCAGAGAGAGTGAATGAGCCTCGAATGATTGTATTTCTGATTTCACCTGACGAAATGCTGAAATTCGTGCTGCTGCACTTAATATTGTCGCGGTAGTTGCCGCATTGAGTGCTGGCCCAAGTGCGTTAGATGCTCTTGGGAACGCTGCTTCGCAGAGTGATGTGCCGATATTTGCTTTGCCAAACGTGGTGGAAACTGCCGTTGCGCCAAATGTGTCATATGATGTGATGGTTTTTGATTCCGTCCAGAACGGACAACATCGTGGTGGACTTTGGTATCTGGCTGTCCGAGGAGTAGAAAATGGTGATGTTATGTGCTTAGAGGAATTGCTGGAATTCCTGTTAGGTGGGCTTTCAGTATGTAGAAAACTCGAAGTTCTGTACTTTCGTGATCCATGACTTGGAAATTGTGAGTGCTGGTAATGCATTTTGATTTGATCACCTTTGTTGGTATTTGAAGAGGAAGCAACGTCTGTGGAGATTGTGAGGGCTATCTTCCTTTGTCTGACGAAGGTGATTACTTCGTCTACTGTTGGGAATGTGCTTGTTGAGGCCCTTGATATCTCAAATTGCCTTCGAGTGTGTGAATCGAGAGCCCTTAATGCCAGAAACGCCAACAGCATCTCGGATGAATTTTCCAAGTTGAGAGTCTTATAACCTTGAATGTTGTCTGCTACACCTAAAAGGAAGTTCTCATAATTCTGCAGCTCGTTCCTTGTATTCTTGGTTTCAAAATCCAATATTTGCTGAAGAAAATATTTATAACGGAATGGACGGTCGGTTATTCATCGTCCCAATAATTTTCCAACTGTTTTGAGTTTGGCGAAAATGGGGAACGAGTGGAAACCTTTTCCAAATTTTTATTCGTCCTCTTTCATCTCGGAAATGAAGGATCGGTTTTCAAGTGTTCCAACCATTTTTCGGTAATGTAAAAGTAGGCGAAAATAATGAAATAATGTAGAGAATTTTCATTCACCATTCCTCTTTTATTTCGGGAAAGAATGCTCGGATTTTCACTGTTCTAACCATTTCCCAACTGTTTAGAGGTAGGCCAATGAAAACAGTAGTGGTACAAATTTTCCCAATTTTCTTTCACTTTTTCTCTTTTATACGTGAATGGACGCTAAGATTTTCACTGTTCTAACCATTTCCAACTGTTTAGATGTAGACCAACGAATATTGTACTGGTACAAATTTCCTGAATTTAGATTCGCTATTCCTCTGTTATTTGGTGAATAGATGCTCTGTATTTCATCGTCTCAAATATTTTTCAGCTGTTTAGAGTTAGGCGAAAATTAATAAAAAAGTGCGAACATTTTTATTTTTTCTTGATTCTTCAACTCACACCTGTCAGAAGTTCCGACAATCAGCGAGTGTGATGTCAAGATTGAAGAGATTGGTCTTGGAATAGGCGTGAGGGAGAGGAGTACCCAGCGGTGTCATTCCTGTCTTGAGCGTAATATTTATAGTTAGTGGAGGAGATCCCTCATCCAGCTTCTTTTAAGCCTCCTTCGGGTGCTATCGGGCATGTTAGTTGTGGCCATGCCTCGAATCAATGAGCTTGTATGTCCGTGTAAGTTATTATGAAATCGTTTATAGTATGTTCGTATGTGGTCGTTAACTGTTGGCATCTGTAAGTCTTTATGTACAGTAATGTTACTGACTTATCAGGGAGCTTTGGTGATAGTCCTGAAAGTTTTAGATTGAAAAGTATATAATTTACGTATGTGAGTCTTTTTGACTGTCTTATATAACTGTAAAGCGTAGGTCCTAATAGGCTTAATATTAAGATCGACTTTCATGTAATCAGGGGCAATTTTTATGAAAATTCTATCGGATTTTAGATAGTGCCCCGGGCACCGACTTCTTGTAACTTTTCTGATTTAATCGATATATGGGTCGACTATTAGGTTTTGTGGGGGCGCTTTTTATGAAAAAGTTATCGAATTTGAGATTGGCACCCCCGGACTCCCAACTTTTCGTAAATTTTCTGATTTAATCGATATACGGGTCGAATATTAGGTTTTTGGGGGGCACTTTTATGAAAAAAATGTCAGATTTTAGATAGTGCCACCCGGGCGCCGACTTTTTGTAACAATACGGATTATGTCGACATCAGGATCGATTATAAGGTTTTGGGGGGCGCTTATTATGAAAATAATATCGGATTTGAGATTGGGCCCCCCGGCCCTAGCCTTTTTCAACTTTTCGGATTAAATCGATTTTAGGGTCGACTATTATGTTTTGGGGGGCGCTTTTTATGAAAATGATATCGGATTACGAATCATTTTCATAAATTTTGAGATAGTGCTCCCGGGCCCCGACTTTTTGTAACATTTCAGATTTAATCGATATTAGAGTCAATTATTAGGTTTTGGGGAGCGCTTTTTATGAAAATGATGTCGGATTTGAGATGGTACCCGGGGCCCGACTTTTTGTAACATTTCCGATTATATCGACCTCAGGGTCGACTATTAGGTTTTCTAGGGCGCTTTTTATGAAAATGGTGTCGAATTTGAGATAGTTTCCCCGGGGCCCGACTTTTTGTAACTTTTTAGATTTAATAGATATCAGGTTTGACCATTAGGTTTTACGAGGCGCTTTTTATGATATCAATTTAATTCAAGTCGAGGCCCAGGGGGCCCAATCTCAAAGTCGATATCATTTTCAAAAAAGCGCCCCCAAAACATAATAGTCGACCCTGATATCGATTTAATCCGAAAAGTTGAAAAAAGGAGAGGCCCGGGGGCCCCAGTCTCAAATTCGATATTATTTTCATAAAAAGCGCCTCCCCCAAAACCTAGTAGTCGACCCTGATGTCGATATAATCCAAAATGATACAAAAAGTCGGTACCCGGGGGGTATTATCTAAAATCCGACATTTTTTTCATAAAAAGTGCCCCCGAAAACCTAATAGTCGACCCATATATCGATTAAATCAGAGACGTTACAAAAATTCGGTGCCCGGGGCACTATCTAAAATCCGACATTATTTTCATAAAAAGCGCCCCCCAAAACGTTATAGTCGACTTTAAGACCAATGAAATCAGAAGAGTTAGCTATTTGCTTTTAGTTGAAGTTACAGATAAAGATAATTAGCGGTTAGCGGTAAGAACAGCTAAAAGTTAACTTACGCTAAACGTTAGCTTCTTGGTCCCGCTAATAGCTAATTTAGTTGCAAAATTAGGTACTGAAAAGGTACTGTTATCTGTTATCTGTTAGCTATAGATAATTTTTGCACAAGACTGCTTCAGTGGAATAAAAAGGAATCTATTTCGTTGGCGCGGCTCGGCAGTCTAGGTATGACGTCATATCTAAGCTGCTCCTGTATGACCGCTCCTGAAGCAGTTGAGCTGTTGGCGGTTCGGCGGTTGTAGGTTATGTTATCATATCAGAGCATTATTTTGATGATAACGGTAATGTTGATACGTTTTATTGTTTATTATTTTTTTTTATTATTAGACAGACGACTAAAGGTACTATTTCGCTGGCGCGGTTCACGACAGCGACCACTATTCCATACTGCAAACCGCTGTTGCCGTAGCTATTTCGCTGAAACTGCTCACTGAGGTTGTTTTAACCTGCCTATAACCTTCGAACATTTCGCTGTATCTTCGAAGATAAAAAGATGGACATCCTATAATAATAAAAATGAACATCCTATAATTCTGTAATGATGAACATCTCTGACTACCGCTTTTATATTTGAGGAGGAAAAAGAAGAAAAAATGTCGTTCATAAAGGGAAGGAATATCATTATTTCGACGAGATGCTCATCATCAAACCCCTTCTTGGACATTGTTTGCTATTGTCTAGATGAACAACCAAAAAAGAACAAAAAGGCGAGAAACGCCGTACTGACAACAAGAGTCCCTCTGATATTAGATATTATTAGTTTGTAAAGTAATAGTAATTACACCATAGTTGAAGGGACAAGCGCACCTTACCTGATTTTAAATAGTGTATGCATGTGTTTTTGCTTTGTTTTCATTTTCTTATTTTTAAGTTGCTTTATTTTATTTATTGTATATACTTTTGATTATTATTTTGCTTCCATTTATTTTATATGTTTCTGTACATTTACTGCGAATGTTATTCTACCTCATTATAACTAAGGTCCAAGTGACAGATCGATGTAATACTTAATAAATAAAAAATCAGAATAATATATCTCGTTGGAAATATTTTTTTAGAGATAAAAAAGAGAAAAGTCGTTTCAATTAAATCGCTGTAGTAAAACATCGATATCGGTGACGTTTTCTTTTTGAAGTTGAGATAGCCAACTGGCCAAATCTTCAAAAGGTTTGAGCTCAGTTGACGTTCGTCTATTTTGAAGTTGACGTGTTTGAATTTCTGTCTATTTTTTAGTCTATAGATATTACAAAATAGACCGCTTGCTTCGAAGCTTGTTTATTTAATCATAATTGCTGGTTTCAATTTCGATAATATGGATAATAACCATCGTAGAAATGTATCTCAATCAAAAAAGTATAAAAAAGGTATTTCAAAGAAATCTAAGCATGAAAATATGGAAGAGAAAACTGGGGAAGCCAAGTTTAAAGAAGCCCAAATAAAATTACAACAACTAGTTCAGAAACATTTAGAAGACAAGAATATTTCTTCTTCTGATGAAGAAGAAGAATTAGAGACAAATAATATTTTAGGTATATGGAGAATTAAACCACTTGCTCATAATTAATACTTATAGTATAATTTCTGAAGTTCCAAAAATAATTTATCTGTATTACACCACTTTCAAGTGAAGTCTTAGGAAAATCATTTGCGTGAATTTTCAGGCTCAATCCTGATAATTATTTATTATGTATTATTTCAATTATTGCTAATCATCCACATAAAAATCATTGAATTTTATGTATGGTGTTTTCGATGTAAACTTGAACTAGATGTGACACTTGTGGACCAGTACTCTCTTTAATTGGTATGTTTTTTAATATAAAGTTAAAATATATGCATTCTTAAATTAGCAGAATGCAATTTTAGGGTTACTGCTAATTCATTTATTTTGGTTTTTGCTCATATTGTATTAAGAAGGTAATTTTTTCATTTCTTGCTCAGAACTGTTTATTATGACCTGGTTCAGATACGCCAGTTTATAAAAGCTGGGTCACCTCAAGCAGTTTGTGGCATTTAGAGCAGTTTGTGGCATTTAGTTGCATATGAATGGTCTTGAGTTCCCTCTGAGATGGATTTTCCCCAAGTTAATATGAGTGCTATTTCTAGGAAGCTCTCTAATATTCTAAGATAGATGATAACTGCAGCCCAGTTTTGAAGATCTTAATTTTCTAAGGAATAGATTGTAAAAAATCTATTTTTAGATCTAGTATATAGTACTTATATACTACTAGTATATAAACATGTAAAATGTAAATTATCATTGCAAAACTGAGTAGGAACATTAAACAATAATGATCAAAGAAAGCCTGAACTCAGCGCTAATTATTGATGGATTATTCTCAGTTTAGGAATGATTATAAATTCCAGCTGAAGGTTAACACTCCTGAAATATTATTAAATATATGTAAAATATGTTAAAAGAAATACCTTCCTAGTGAATTGTTAAGTTTCAAAACATAAATAGGGCTATTTACTGAATCAGCACTCAGCTCATTTATGGTGTCGTTTCACCCTGTTTAGAGATGGATGATTCATGAGCTCTGCCTTGAGTTCGGAAACGTGCCCATATAGACAGAAAATAAACAAAATATTAATATGGTTAAAGTAAATTGAGATATAACAATACTGAGGTTACATTCAGTGGATTCATTGACCCCAACAGCTGATGGAACTGCCGAGCTATCAATGATTTAATTGATAAATAAATGAACGAACTGAATAATCGTTGAATTAGGAACTTGCCAAAATATCCTTATATACTAAATTTCTTTAAAATATCTCAGATATCAGCCTGATTCTATTAAATTTGAATGATATAGTCGAGGGTTTATATAATCAATTTTAACATTATTAATCCATTTTTAGTTTAAAATAAAAATATGATGGAATTGTACAATTGAATGGAATCCATAGAATTGATAACGAATAATTTACTTTTTTATTAAAATATATTTTTATGATTTTATTTATCTTCTTCTTTTGGGCCACCCTGTTATGCTTATCAGCGTAGGAGAGCGTTTAACTAGGATTGTCATTGTTCCCTGGTTCTTGCCAGGTTCCTGGCTTGACGAGGATCTTTTCCTCTACTTTCGCTCAAACATTCGATGTATTCCAGATAGGACATCCTCGGTCGGCCTCGAAGCCTTCTACCGTCAGGAGTATAATCCATAGTTTTCAGTGGATCTCAGGGTTCTTCCATCCTGATGACATGTCCAAACAAATTCAACTGATAAGCCTCAAGGACCTCCATAACCGAGACGTCTCCTAGTTCCTCCCTGATCCTTTCATCTTAGATGCAATCTCTGCTTGTTCTCCCCACGATTCTTCAGATAAACCTTGTCTCTGCAACTGTCACTCTGCTTTCCTGTTTATCTGTAAGTATCCAGCTTTCAGCTCCATAAAGGTGTATATGCAGATTGATTAACACTCCTTTTCTGCGGAGCTCATCGTTCCTGTCAGCTGTAACTTTCCTGCCGAATCTGCTATGAGAACCATGTCATACACATATAAAAGAAGCTGGGTCACCATGGGAAGCAGATTTTCCAGCCTATAAACAGCCTGTCAGTTCACCTTTTGCAGATTGCCGTTATTTCATCCATATATATTATGAATAGCAAAGGGTTAAAACTCACCTTGTTTGACCTTCCCTGAGCATGTTAAAGTACCCAAATTCCTAACCATTTAGTCAATTCCTTTTGGGTCTTGGTATGTGGACTTAATGGCTTCTGTCAGACTCCTTGGAACACTTTTAACTTTTAGTGCTTCTCATATCTCGTTCATTGGGACCGATTTGAATGTTGAAGGATAAGGAAGGCGAAGTACATATTTTTATCTCGATCTCAGGATTTCTTCAGTACATTTCTTAGGGAGAAAATGTGGTCCTGAGTTTGTCCTCTTAGCCGGCAACCAACTTGTTCCTCTCCTATTAGTGGTTCCACTAGAGTTCTCAATCTACCTTCAATGATGGAGGTATATAATTTGTACACCTCTGGAAACGTGCACAATCAGGTCTGTAGTTGGAGCATTCTGCTCAGCAGCCTTTTTTATGTGTGGGAATAATGACATTATATTCCCAATCTGTAGGAATCCTCTTCACATCCCAGGCTTTTTGAAAAAGTATTTGTAGAGACCTCACTAGTTCCGTCCCCTCCCCACCCTTTATGAATTCTCCAACAATATCATCCTATCCTACAGCTTTTCCTGTTTTTATTTTTTCGAGAACTCTTTCAATTTTGTCTTCCTCTATCACCTCTTGCATTTCATCTATATTCCATCTTCCGTTCTGATTGTCCACAGAAAGAAAAAATATTCATTTTTAAATTGTGTTTCGAAATAAACCCAACATACTTCCTGGATGCATTTTTCTTAGTTCATTCTTAATATTCCTTATTTCTGTGCTTTTCCGGCTTCTTAATGCTTTAATGTTTTTGCAGAATAATTTTATATTTTCACCTGGTTTAATTGCTTCCCAAATTCTTTCCAGGCCTTTTTTTTTTGCCATTTTAACAGTTTCATTGGTTTTGTACCTTGCCAGTACATAAGTTTGCCAGTTATCTTGGGTTTTGCTGCTGCAGTGATCCTTCTATGCTACTTTCTTTTCACTTACTAGTGCCTTTAATTCATCGCTCCACCATTTAGTACGCTTGCGGTTTGTAGATATCCGCTTCACTCCACAGACTAGTGCAGCAGACTTCAAGATACCATCCTTGATATGCTTCCAGACATCATCCAGGGTTGCATCTGCATTCAATTTTATTTATCAAATATTCAAATTGAAAAATATACATTGGAGTTAGAAATATTGTGGAGGGGATCCAATCCCTATTCTCCTCTCAAAGCCCAGTTGTATTTTCTTTCTTGAGAAATATAACCACTTTCGAAGACCAGTTTCTAGTGAATGTATTAGTTATTTAAAACTCAAGATTGTGTTGTATGAGCCATGTGTAGTCAGGTCTATTAATGATACTAAATCTAGAAGCCATACAAAGAACAATAATAATTTATCTTTTTTATTTGTGAAATAATTGTCATTATAGAATTTGATTTTAATTTGAACTAGGGTGGGGAAGGTACCTCCTTTCTGACAAACAGCGGACCCCCCTCATTTTACAAACTCTACAACTGTTCATTTAATTGTACTGCTCATTGCTTAAATTGTATAACTTTAATTTACATGTATTCTGTAGTTCACATTGTATTATTTTTTATCAACATAAAATAAATTGAACAAAACCACAGTTCAGACAAATTTTTAATTTCTTTAAAATCTATATTACACATTGCTCCTTATTGCCAATTATATTATTATAATTATTTTTATTGCCAATTCATAACCATAATATATATATATATATATATATATATATATATATATATATATATATATATATATATATATAGATAGATAGATATTCAACTTATACAGTTTCATATAAGCCCAACTATGATTTATTGTTATTTATAATATATTGTGCTTCCTTTTCTATTTTATTATAATTATAATTATAGCACAATTAAATATAAAAAACATATATATAATAATTAATATATTGCTGTCAAGGGGAAATGTCTTGAGCAAAAAATAACTACTGTTACTAAGGTAAAATCTTTATTTTGTATTAGGTAACAGAACCTCAACACATATGTAATTGAATGGACAGCTGTGTAATCAGTGCTAATAAGAGAGCTCCTGTAACCTCCTAATTCTGTATACTCCTAATTCTAAAATGAAATAAAATATGATGTACACTAAAACCTTTTTTTTATATAATAGAGAGATATAATAATTAATGTACCGATGTTGTTTATTTGATCCTAGATCATTCACAGTCCACGAACCAGTTGAGCCCTCAGAAATTATCATTTAAATAAAACACATAACAAATCATTATAATTTTTATTTATTTTTCAAAGTATCATAATATTATAGAATAGAAAAGTATCCCATACAAGGTTGTCAGTGATTAAGTAATGGGGAGAAACCTTTTTCATTTATTTCAGATGATAATCAAAGAGCAATATCCATCTTGTAAACTGTTAAGCATCAAATTACATAAGCAAATCAAATGAAATGATGTATGTAAACAGCAAATCTTTTAGTAAATCAAATTAGGAAATTGTTAACATCCTCAAACTCATAATGTGTTTCGTTTTCTTTAATATTACTTACTAATGCTTTCTAGACATATATCTGGATATTACAATACTTTTCCTCACTTTTTTTTCATTGAATTGATACAATTAGATATTTAGTTTTGCATAAAAGCATCAATTATATAATCAATTCAAACAAATATAATAAATTAAATAGACCCTAGAATTTTTTTTTTTGTTCGAATTTGCAAAACAGATTTTTTATAGTTAAAAATTGCAAAAAAAATCCATTTTAGTGCAAAATCGATTCCATAGGATTTTACATTTTAAATTTACTACTACTCAAGATCAGCATAGATTTGTTAAGAACTCTGTTTTTAATTAAACAGGAAAAAAAATAAAACATTAATCCTTCAAATCCTGGACCCTAGTGATAATTATTTTCTTTTTCTTGACCATGGTCTAGGGCTGGATTTGAAGTTTGACACTCCTAGGATCCTATGTTTTCACCACCTTTCGGTATCAGAGTAATTTCCCTTCAGACTATAATCTAATAAATACATAAACTATTATTAACTATACTGTATAAGATCTACTGAAGACATGCCTGAACTCATAATAAACATTTTAATTGGTATTAAACAGATTATTTAATGTACACCACTTGCCAGGGGTCTTGTATTAAGCCCATGGTCTCTGACCGTAACTAGATTGGTATTAAACAGATTATTTAATGTACATCACTTGCCAGGGGTCTTGTATTAAGCCCATGGTCTCTGACCATAACTAGTTAAGTCGATAAATGGTCCTCATGAGTTCTGTGAATTGTAATCATATTCTAAGGCTTAACACCTTGAAGAAGTTGGTAAATTCACAATTCTTGTCTAGACCTCTAAAATTTTTAGTACTGTGAGTTACCAACTTCTTTACAGTGTTTAAGAAGATGATCTCAATTTACAGAACTTGTGAGGAAAATTTTTCAACTTAACTATTTATGGATAGAGACCCTTTGAAAAATGACTAGCTCTGTCCTGATCTATAATTTGTTGATTTCAGGGTCAGTAATCAAGAAGTATTCACAATATGGTGGAAAAAATGAAGATTTAGAACGTACACAGAATTTTTTAGAAAATGTATTTCATTCTGGTGCAGCTGCTTGTTTGATTTGTATAGCAACAGTTAAACGAAATGATCAAGTAATTTTTTTTTTTTTTATACTTATCTCATAATTCATGTTTTATCATTAACCTGGATTACTGATTTCCAGATCTGGAGTTGCTTATCTTGTTTTGGATTTTTCCATTTATTATGCATTCAAAGATGGGCTAAAGATAGTATTGCTCATCAAAAACTTGCTGCTGAAGAAAGACCTAGTTCGAAAACAAGCTTCATCATATGGCAGTGGTAATTAAACTATTATTATTATTTCTGTTTTTAACTAGCCCTACTTAGATTTTACGATGACATTAATTTTTATTTAACTTTATATTCAATTTATATTTTAATTGAATATTAATATTTTACCCTATTAATAACTGGTTTTTCATTAACATGGAAGTTAATCTTTTATTAATTAGTGATTGATGAGTACTATACATGGTGTCCTGTAAGTTAAGGATATTTTTGAAGAAGTGAGAGTAAACCTCAAGACCTATTATTATTATTATTATTTTTAGCGTTACTGCCCTCTAAGGTCCTCCTCACAAAACCTGTCAGACTGGTCTGTCGGAAGCTACAGCTTTCCATCTTCTAACTCCCAGTTGCCGTTGGTCTGCATCAATTTCATTTAACCTTCTCATCTTAGGATGTCCACTCCTTCAGGCACCTTCTGGTTTCCCATACATTAGCTGTTTTGGGAGGCAATTGTCCCCCATACACTTCATATGACCAAGCCACCTTAATATTTCCTTTTTAATTATGGCCACTATATCAGGCTGGTCATGTTCAGACTCTCAATTCATCAATTTTTCTAATCCTCCACTCTCCTTGAGAGCAGACTGGTCCATATATTTTTCTGAGTACTCCTCGTTCATATGAGCTTAGTTGCCTTTCCAATTTCTGTGTCAGGTTCCATAGAAGACTACTGGGCATATAATGGTTTTATAAATAATCACCTTGGCACTGTATAAAGATTTTTGAACCTTAATCCCTTGCTAGCGCCAAAGTAGCAAAGATTTCCTGCTGCTATTCTTGCTTCAATTTCTTTGCAGAGCTCATTTTTTTCGGTGACAACTGATTCAAATTAAAAATCTGGTGTGGTGCACGCATCACATAACTTTTACTTTTCAACCTTTAGATTAGCTAGATATTTTCATAAGTAGGGAAATCAAATTGAAAACGATGGTATAACTTCATTAAAAATATTGAAGGAAGTTAGTCAACAGTTCTACATATCATGAGTGATAAATGTTCAGGATGCAGTCATTATGAAGTTTTTATTGGTACCAACATTTCAACCCTAACATGTGAGACATCATCAGGGCATGTTTCAAGATGACCCACATGTTTGGGTTGAAATGTCGGAACCAATAAAAACTTTATAATGACTGCGTCTTGAATATTTATTACCCTTCATTTAAAATAATTAATTACTATATTTTTCCCACCCATCAAATATATTGAATTTGATTTACCTTTGCATCACTTTCCATTTCCTTTTACGGCTATTTATAGTATCAAACTATATACTAATAATAAAATAAAATACTAATGATTGTGAGCCACATTTTTGTATCATTTTAGAGTTTTATCTGAAACATTTATCACGAAACTCATCGAAAAAATAACTTAATGTTAGTAAATATTGCATATTATTAGGTTTATATTAGTAAATCCTCTACATTTCCCATAAAATCCTTTTTAAAAAAATATGGATGTGATACATAAAACTAAAACTAACGATAGGTAATCCTTGTACAGAAGGCTATCAGGTATCTGTAAAGGGAGAGGATCACCAATCGTCGGTGGTCTCGTCTTAACAGCCAAGCTTCATACACAGCTTATACCTTATAGCTTCCTACCCTTATTCCTCCTTACCAATCAATTTTCTTCATTTATTATATTAAACAATTTTTTATATTATTTTCCAATATGAAATGGTTAATTATTTCAAATAAAATAAATTAAAGGTACTTCAGAGTAAGAAATTTTGAAAATTAGGTATTTAAATGTTGTTAGAGAACATCGATGAAAATAAAACCTACGATATACTAAAAACTGCTTAATTTTACACATATATAATGAATTTAATCAAAATCATCAGCTGTTTTTGAAAAAAATTTGTAAAATCGATGATATAAAGTGCCACTTTTGGTTAGCCAATTTTGACGAAAAAGTTGCTATAACATCCATATTATATAGAAACTTTAAATACACAGTTTCAGACTTTTCTTTTCTTGAGCTAGACTGTTCACATACATACAAACACACTTACCATTTTGCAGGGCTTGGTTATTTGGGCTCAGGGAACCTCAAAATTGTGTATTCCTATTGAGAATCTGGATTCGAAAATTTTCATAATCGCAATACTTTCAACTACTATTGTCCAGAAAATAATGGAGGATTTTAAGTTTTCTTTAAAATACTCCTCTATATAACAAAGTGTTAACGTTTACTGGATTATTTATTTGTATAAATGTCAATCCTCTTCCAAATGACAATCTTTGTTTATCTCTGTAGCATTTCACTGTTTAGAAATGATTCAGTCTTTACTTAGATGTCAACGCGTGATTTTCGACGTCTAGAAACATCAATCAAATTTGGGGTGAGTGCACTTTTCAACAGTGGTTCAAAAAAATTTGGGAGGGAGACTTCAATCTTGAAGACAAAGGAGGTCGTGGAAGGACTTCCTCTCTTGATGGTGATGTTCTGCAGGCTTTGGTGGAAAAAAAACCAGCACAACTGTTCGAGAACTTATAGGGAAACTTAACTTTAACAAATCCACCATCGATGACCATCTCAAGGCGATTGGAAAAGTAAAAAAGCTTGAAACTTGGGTTCCACTGACATCAAATGACCGCCAAAAAAAAAACCAGTGTTATGAAGTTTGTACTATAGTTCTTTGCCGAAACAAAAATGATCCTTTTCTGTCCAGAATTGTTACTTTGAAATGAAATGAAATGAAATGAAATGAAAAAAATGTTTTATTATTCTGGGACTGTTGTCCCTTAAGAACAAAATATGAATACAGATTATATGTCTGTGTGGCTACAATTAAATTGTATATTTACAATGAAAGTTGACTTACGATAAAAATACAGAAAAGAGAAAAAAAAGAACAAGGAAATTGTACATATGTATGAGAAACTAAAATAACCTTAATAAATTGAGGTAGTCTCTGGTGGTGCTCAGATATTTCTCTAAGATATATTTCACAATCATTCGGATTGAGAAAGGAGTAGGTGCTTAAAGAGGAGTGGTTTAAACGAGGAAACTGATTGAGCGTGTCGAATATCAGCTGGTATGGAATTCCAGAGGGAGGCGGCTTGTATTGCAAAGGATTTGTCAAACGCAGCAGTTCGGTGAGGAGGAGGATAGAGGTCGGAAGTACGAGATCTGGTGGGACGGGATTGGATGGAATATTTGAATTGTAAGCTGTGAAAAATATAGGAGGGTCGATGGGTTCTAATGATTTGGTACAGAAAGATGGCTAGGAAGTACTGACGGCGATAGGATGGGTAGAGCCACCTCAACTCAGTGTAATACTGGGCAATATGCGTATCCCTTGAGATTCCGAAAACAAATCGTAGTGCGCAATTCATTAGGCGTTTAAGTTTGGCCTCGGAATCTCCCGGGAGTCCACCGTACACCATACAGCCATAGTCGAAGTGGGGGAAAACAAGGGAGGAAACTAGGAGTTGACGGGACTTATATGGAAGGAGATATCGTAGACGATTGAACTGTTTTAGGGTGGAGATAGTGCGACGGGAAATTTGGGGGATGTGAGGTTTCCAGGATAGGGATTGATCGAAAGTAACACCTAGGTTTTTAACGGTGGTGTAGAATAAGATAGGTGAGTTGTTCAGGAAGAGATTGGGAGATACCGGGGAGGATTTGAGGAGTGAAGGGGATCCGATCAAGATGGCTTTTGTCTTCTCGGCGTTCAGAGTGAGCCTATTGAGGTTTGCCCAAGCACTTATTCTGTCAATATCTTCCTGAAGTTTTTGAGTGGCATCTGAGATATCTGTCGGATTAAAGGAGAGGTAAATTTGAATGTCGTCGGCATACAGGTGGTAATGACAGTGCAGGATAGAGGATGGGAGGTCATTTATATAGATGGAGAAAAGGGTGGGGGATAAGGAAGAGCCTTGTGGGACGCCTCTGGTCAGAGGTAGAGATTCTGATGGTGGGTTATTAGGAATTACAACGTACTGGGAGCGACCGGTTAGGAAGGATTGGAACCAATTAAGGGAACTAGAAGAAAAAGAGATATTTTTAAGTTTGGTTAGGAGGATGTTGTGGTCTACTGAATCAAAAGCTTTGGAGAAGTCTAGGAGAATAAGGATGGTTAGTTTCTGCTGATCTATGGCTGTGTGAAGGTCTTGGGAAATTTTGATTAGGACAGACTGAGTAGAATAACCAGGCCTGAATCCAGACTGGTAGGGATTTAGGAGATTATTGTCCTCTAAGAAATGGGATAGCTGGGATTGGACTAACCGCTCTAATGGTTTTGAGAGGTTTGAAAGGAGGGAAGTCGGTCGGAAATCATTAGGAACTGATGGGTTTGAAGTCTTCTTCAATGGGCGTACTAGGGCGGTTTTCCAGGATGTAGGGAAGGTAGCATTTTGAAGAGAATAATTATATATATGATAAAGGATCGGAAGAATGGATGGCAATGCGGCTTTAATCAGTCTGACTGGGATGTTGTCGGGACCGTAATCATTGTTATGGGACTTCTGAATGGATTTAAGGAGCTCATCTGGTGTAATATGGGAAAGAAAGAAGTGATCAGGATTAAAGGAGGAGAACATAGGAGCCAGACTGGACGTGGAAGATGTGGATGCAAGAGGACAGGAGACAAAGTGAGCGTTGAGGTTATCAGCAGAAACGGAATTGGACTGAGACTGGGGTGTATTACCAATGGTCAGTTTTCTAAGAATAGCCCACATAGCCTTGGTATTGGGAGAGTTGGATAGGGAATGATGGTAGTAACGGGATTTAGCGCTGCGTACTGCTGATTGAGTGCTATTTCGAAGCTGTTTGTAGGAGAGAAAATCATCAGGAAGTCGAGTTCGTTTAAACCGTCGCCTTGCAGCATCTCTTTCTCTCATACACTCCCTCAAAGCAGGGGTAAGCCAAGGAGCTGGAGGATATCGGATGGTTTTTGTGATAAGAGGAGCATGTCGGTCGAGGATAGAGTGAAGTTGAGTGGTAAGGATTTCTACCATGGTGTCTATGGATTTTGA